CATATTCTAATTACAGCTTGTTCTGCCAGAATCCACACCACCTTACACTACTTGTGTCAGATATAAAAGCAGAAGATAAAATCCTGTCCTACTTTAAAATTGCCCATCTTGAGCCAAATCGAAAATCAGAGCAGAGGCATTAAAGATAAAGGTTGGATGGTATTTCCACTATTGCAAGAAACTTCACTTTTGCATTTCTGCCTTAGAGGAAGGTGATTTCTGAGGCTGCAGTCCTTGGAGATACACAAGGGGACATCCCAGGAGGTCATAAAGACCATTGCTGAGGGCTTCAAATATCCTTTTGGTTCTGGCAGCAAGGAGTAATACCATAGAACAGGGCAATCCGCTGCCTATTTTTTTGTAAATAAAGTTTTCTTGGCACGTAGCCAAGCCCATCCATGTGCATATTGTTTATGGCTGAGTTTGCACTGCAACAGCTGAGTTGACTAGTTGCAACAGCAACGGTATGGCCTGCAAAGCCTAAAATACTTACTCTCTGGCCCTTTACAGAAAAAGATTGCTGACCCCTGCTGAATAACATCAGTACATCAATCCACATATCTCCATTTAAATGTACCACAGACAAATCTAATTCAATAGATCTAAAAATGCATGACCCTCCATAAACCTATCCTCTCTCATTAATGGCACTATTATCACCAATTCACCTGAATTAGAAGCCTCCGTCCCCTTTCCCTTCACACCCCATCTATTACTATACTCCGCATCCATCACCACATCCTGCCAATTCTACCCCTCACTGCATTTCAACTCTGACCGTGTCTCTCCATTTTCACCTCCATTTCCTTAGTCTAAGTCACTGTCATTTTGTTCAAGATTGACAACAGCTTTCTAACTGATCGTTCTGCTTCTAGTTTTGCCCATCCTCTGCCCTCGATCCATCTTCCACTCAATAACCAGAAGGATCTTTCTAACATCTCAATCTAATTCTGTCCCATGCATAATAATATATGCAGCGAAGATTTAATATGCCCTTACTATGTGCGAGGCATAGTTCTAAGCGCTACATATGTAGTAAACTGATTTTAATCCTCACACCAACCCTATAAGGTAGATGTTAACATCCGCATTCTTTAGATAAAGGCAATGAAGAACGGAGAAGTAAAGTAACTTGTTCAGTTACACAGCTAGTAAGTGACAAAGCCGAGAGTTGAGCCAATGTTAGCTAGCCTCAGAATCTACAGTGGTAACCACTCTGTTCTACTGCTCTACACATACACACACACACTCACACTCACTTACACACAAACACACTCACACACAAAAAGATACTGCTCATGGCTTCCCATCGCTCTGAAAATGAGTCCGTACTATTTATAGTGCCTAAAGACGATCATTTTGTTCTACGCTAACCGCTGCTTACCTCTCCGGCCTGGTCTGTTGCCATTCTCAGCCCTGAAGTTCAAGCTGCAGCCACCTTAGACTGCTCTAGTTCCCCACGCAAGGCATGTTCTTTTTGACCTCTGTGCCTGTAGTCATGTTATCCCCTCTGCTTTGGCGCCTTCTCCTTCCCTGCACCTAGCCAACTGCTGCACGTCTTTTAATGTTCCACTCAGGTATCGCCTCCTCCAGGAAGCCTTCGCTGAGAAGTCCAGATTTGCCCCTCCTTTATGTTTGCATTATGCCTTGTTCATATCTTTTTCACTGCCCTGTACTATTCAGTGGTATAAAGATCTTTTTATACATTTGACTCCCTTGCTAGACCGTGAGATCCCAGTGGTTTTTCCACTGCATCCAAAAGTCTTGCTTTACTTTTAATTTTTCTATCACCATCGAATTGGTACTAATTGATCAACACTTATGTCCACATATAGTAGTAACATTCGTCGGGTGTCAGGCAGGTGGGAGGGCGAGGAGGGGATGGGTACATTCACACCTAATGGGTGCGGTGCGCACCATCTGGGGGATGGACACGTTGTAGCTCTGACTTGGGTGGGGCAAAGGCAATATATGTAACCTAAACATTTGTACCCCCATAATTTGCTGAAATAAAACATTAAAAATTTGAAAAAAAATTAAAAAAACATATTTTACACCTTAACTATATACAATAAAGTTTTTAAAAAAAATAATAAACTTTTCTGTATTTTCTTGGACTTTATGCCTTTGGCATAAGCTGTAATGGCAAGAAGAGTGGAAAGGGACTACAGGATTTTGTCTTTTTGTCTATGAATGTGTGGAAAGGAAATAGGAGGACATAAATGGGGATCGTGAACATCTTTGGAGGAAATGAAATCACAGGATGAAAACATTTTAGAGCTTATTTTTGGTAGTTTTGGAATAGTAAACTGCTTTAGGATAGGCTAGATCCCAAAATATATAATGGCTCAAACACGATAGAACTTTCTCAGTCATGTACTCTTGTATTCTTGGTCAGCAGGATAGTTTTCTTCACATGGTTAATTGAGGGACATGGTCACCCTGGGTTATTAAATTCCAGTCAGCCTGAAAAGGGAAAGAACATGGAGGAGCACACATGGGAGACCTCTATAGACCAGGCCTATAAAAACACATGTTTTTTTGTTTGTTTGTTTGTTTTTGTTTTTGTTTTTTTTTTTGAGACAGCATCTCACTCTGTTGCCTGGGCTAGGGTACCTTGGCAGCAGCCTAGCTCACTGTAACCTCAAACTCCTGGGCTCAGGCGATCCTCCTGCCTCAGCCTCCCAAGTAGCTCAGACTACAGGCCCGGCTCCACCGTATCCAGCTAATTTTTTCTATTTTTTAGTAGAGATGGGGTCTTGCTCTTGCTCAGGCTGGTCTTGAACTTCTGACCTCAAGCGATCCTTCCGCCTCTGCCTCCCACAGTGCTAGGATTACAGGCGTCAGCCACCTCCCACACATCATTTTTCTTCACATTCCATCAGTGAGAACTTAGTCACGTAGCCACACCTCACTGCAAAGGAGACTGGGAGATGTAGTCCATCTGTGTGCCCAAAGAGGAGAAGAGTAATTGTTACGGGAAACTAGTGACCTTCACAGGTATATTAACAGTAAAGTTGGGCTAGTTTACCTTGGGCATTGCGTAAATGATGGAAGAGGTTTATTTCCTTTGTACTAGTAAGCTGTATGGTGCTGCTCTATTTAACCTGTCCCATGGGAAGCTGGGGTAGGGAAATGTGGGCAGTATTTAAAATCATGGTTGACAATTAAGCTCCCTATTGAGTCACTTACTAGGAAGTAACAGCTGGAGGGTGACTTGCAATGCTGATGATTCCTTAACTATTAATCACTAACGCTTTGTAGATTGCCTTTAAGTAAATCCCATCTGGGTTGGTATACAATATTGTAATGTTGGCCCCCCAAGATTTTTTCCTTTTTTGCATGTCTAGACTAGAGAGGGTGTTAAATAGATGACAAAGTAGCAACCTGATTCATTACAGGCTAATCAAGAGGTACTGAAAACAAAAGAGGGAAAAAAGACAAAATCAAAAAGGGGACTTATTTCCATTTCAAACCATAGCCACAGGCATGGGGCTTATTCCCTGCCAGTTTGTGTTTGCCCAAACAGAGTGCACAATGATGATGACCTCACATAGTCTAAGGGAGTGAGTAGATGTACATCAATTTGAAATGAAATATCCCCATGATTTTCTGCTAAGAGGCATGTAAATTCCCAGGAGAATTTGTAAAACAGCTGCCCAGGCTCTATGCCCCCACTCCCCACCCCGAGAGTCTCATTTAGTCAGTCTGTGGTGGGACCTGGGGTTCTGAACTTTTTAATGTTCCCTGGATGATTCTGATGTAGAGCCAGGTTTGGGGATTCACTGCTCTAACAGGATGGGAGGGGGAAGAAGGCATACCAGGGCACAAACTGAACAGAGTGATTGTTGTTAATATACGAAAATAATGATGAAACCTAAAAAAAAAATCTAGTCTCATAGCTTGACAAGTAGCACTGTCTCTGGGGTTAGATTCATTCATGGGGCCGGGCGCTGTGGCTCACACGTGTAATCCTAGCACTCTGGGAGGCCGAGGCAGGAGGATCGCTTGAGATCAGGAGTTCAAGACCAGCCTGAGCAAGAGTGAGACCCCATCTCTACTAATGTTAGAACCGGTTCCCCTCAGCTCCAGGAACAGAGAGGCGGAGTCACCGAGGCTGTAAATGGCAAAGGAGTTTATTGGCTAGCTCGAGCTAGGGTCCAAGTCCCAGAGCACCAACGCAGTGGCCTCCTCTATGAACCAGGACCCTGCCCTGGGGTAAAAGTGAAGCTTTTATACTTCCTTTTGCACACAACACACCGGTGGCACACGACACGCAGGTTCCGCATGACACGCTGGGCACACCATCCCCCCTCCCCCCTTAGTCCATTGGTTCCTTTGAAAGTGGCTGATTGTTTTGACCCCTGATTGGTTGGCTCCAAGCCTCGGGATTTTCAACTTTCGCGCCAGCGCCAGTTTTGGTCCGCGTTTTGGTTTCGGGGAAACTGAAATTTAGGCCTACTCTAGGAAGTTCGGCCTGTCATGGAGTCACTCCTGCCCTGTTTTTCATTCTGATTAGCTATATTTGACTAACAACTAAAAGCAAGCGCGGTTACAGAAGCAAACGGCATTACTTAGAATCAAAGAGAACACATTTTTCTAATCTAAAACGGTTTCTGTTCCACACAAAACAAAGTACATTCTCCTACTATCAATTTCTGCCTTTCACTAAAAATAGAAAAAACTAGCTGGCCATGGTGGTGTGCTCCTGTAATCCCAGCTACTTGGGAGGCTGAGGCAGGAGGATCGCTTGAGGCCAGGAGTTTGAGGTTGCTGTGAGCTAGGCTGATGACACAGCACTCTAGCCCAGGCAACAGAGTGAGACTCTGTCTCAAAACAAAAAAAAAAAATACATTCATGGGAGCCTGGAAAACAGGCCTCTTCTGGGGACTGACCATACAGCCCCTTGCCAGAGCTAACTGTAAGCTAGAAGAGGTATTATGAAGATAGACTTCCTCCTGGACATTCCACATGCCTAACTTGTTCTCTTCTTTTCCCAGTTTGTTGCTCAGCCCAACTGCCAACAGTTGCTTGCCACCCTGTGGTACGATGGCTTCCCTGGATGGCGGCGGAAACACTGGGTAGTCAAGCTTCTGACCTGCATGACCATTGGATTCCTGTTTCCCATGCTGTCTATAGCCTATCTGATCTCACCAAGGAGCAACCTTGGGCTATTCATCAAGAAGCCCTTTATCAAGTTTATCTGCCACACAGCATCCTATTTGACCTTCCTCTTCATGCTTCTCCTGGCTTCTCAGCACATTGTCAGGACAGACCTCCATGTACAGGGGCCTCCCCCAACTGTCGTGGAATGGATGATACTGCCTTGGGTTCTAGGTGAGTCGAAGGAACCAGGAGCTATGGCCAGACTGCCTGCTGGTCCTGTCTAAAGAAACTACTAGAACAGGCAATCAAACTGGCTCTGAACTAGGGCACCTCCCCACTATGCAGTGGGGTAGTCCTTTGTTGGAAGTCTGAGAAATGTGGTCCCTTCCTTCCCAGGCCCTGGTCACTCAATAATGCATGGTCCATAGTGAGATTCGCAGTATACCCAGGGCTCGCTTCTGCTAACCTAACATCTTGAAGGACAGAGAAGCTGTGGGTCAATTGGGTTAGAGGGAAAGCCAAGTATCAGTCAGAATGGGCCTCAAGGAAGCTAGGTAGAGCAAACACTGATCAGTTTATTCAAAATCGTCTTTCCCATAACCAAGGGGCACGTGGATATGCTGCTCTCTCATGGATACTTCACACGATCCCAGTACTTTCTCAAGGTTCACATCCTATTTGGACACTGACTCCATAATCAGGGGGGAAACCTGGGAAATTCACACACATCGTGGTAAAAGTAGCCCTACCAGTAGTCTTCAGGCATAATTAGGTTGTGTTGAACCCTCC